AGTGTTCCCCTGCCTGACCCGAGCCTGGTAAGCGACTAAAACGCCAGCGACTCGACACTACGCCGGGGACGTCTGCACCTCGTTACCTGCCCAGAGAGCGGCCCTGGCTCCGCGGCCATCGGCAGCGCTTCCTGAGCCTCGGGCTCCAGCCCGGCTCCGAGAGCGCTGGGCCAAGGGCTGATCCCTGCTAATGGCCGGGGGGCTGAGCACGTCTGTACAGGGGGCCCTTTGCCTCTGCCCTCCCGGAGGGGCTGTGACGAGCTGCAGGAGGCGTCTCTGAAGCCCCAGCGCTGCCCCGCTCTTAATACCGCGCGGCGCATGGGAGGCCCTCGCTACCATCCGCTTCCTGCGATTGTGAGTGGTTCTCGGCAGCACCTTCCCCCTGGTTTCTGAGCAGCCGGCTGCGCGGGCGCACGTCTCTCAGGCGGGGTGAGGTGTGTGCGGCAGGACGGCAAAACTGGCTGCCAGATTTTTGCCCTGAGATTTCGTTTCACAATCTCGTCTCCGGCGCACACGCGTTTCCCCAGCCAGTTACAGAGCGATCGCCAACAGGCCCCTGCTTCCTGGGCTTGTACAGAGCCTGACCTGGCTGTCGCATGACACAGCCCGGCTCCCCGCATTTAACTCCTCAGTGACATCAAAAGGGACACTTCCAGCACGCTCACTTAGCCTGAGCCCTGCCACCGGCAGCCCCCCCGCTGTCCCCGTCGTCAGTTCTGGGCTCGTTATTTCCACTCCAGCCCTGCTGAGGAAGCGGGTTTTGCCCACGAAAGCTCATGACGCTACGTAGTTTTGATCGTCCCTAAGGGGCCGCAGGGACTCGTTCTCCGTCACCGACACCCCCGGAACAGGCCATCCGCCTCAGGTGATGTCACCAAGGGGCAGGGCTTAGCCAGAGGCTACAGCCCCCATTAGCAGTGACCCCGAGGCTCCCCCTCCCCAGGGAACGAGCAGCCCTAAACATCAGGGGTGCAGCTTAAAGCCGGCCCCGCCCCAGAGCCTGTCGGCCATTGCTGCAGTGAGCTGGCTCCTGTGTGTGACCGAGACCGGCCAGGCCGGGTCGGAGCAAAGGCCCCTCCAGCCAGCGCCCGGTGCCCCAGAGGGAGGGAACAGAACCAGGAATCCTCACGCGATCCCTCCCGTCACCCGTTTCCAGCCTCTGACCATCCCGGCCCAGCCTGGCTCACAGCCGCTGATGGACATGACCCCTATGCAGGTATCTAGCTCTTTTTTGGCGACGAGTTCCACAGGTTGTGTGCTGTGTGAAGAAACGCTTCCTTTGGTTTGTTTTAAACCTGCTGCCTGTTAATTTCATTGGGTGACCCTAGTTCCTGTGTTATGGGAGCAAGTAAATCACTTTTCCTTATTCACTTTCTCCACACCCGTCATGATTTCATAGACCTCGATCCTAACCCCCTTAGTCTCCTCTTTTCTAAACTGAAAAGTCCCAGCCTTAATCTCTCCTCACACGGCGGCTGTTCCAAACCCCTCAGCATTTCTGTTGCTCTTTTCTGAACTTCTTCCACTGCCAAGAGATCGTTCTTGAGATGAGGCAACCACATCTGCATGCAGGATGCAAGATGTGAGTGTACCATGGATTTATACAGAGGCAATAAGTTGTTCTGTCCCATTCTTAATGCATCTACATGAACTACTGCCCTTTAGCAGATGGATTAGAATGATTCACCTGTGTGGCATTGGCCTTGTACTGCTTAAAGGAGATTCACCTCCAGCAGATGAGGCCTTTGCTTTTGGAGCAAGAGGCTCTGAGCTCTGGCCCTGCTCAGATGCAGCATGATACACGGCAGCGATTGGGAAGCACTAGGCAGCCATGGAGTTGTTCCACTTCTGGCCACGCCATGTTTTCAAGCGTGGTCCCGGCCGCAAGCCCTGCTCCCAGGCTCCGGCTCTGTGCAGCGGATGTCAGAGCACAGCTGGCTCGGCGCTATCGCTGCAAAAATGCCGGGTAGCCTTCGGTTCTGCATACAGGAAGGGGAGGGGAACAGGTGGGGGCTCAGCTACTTAAAAATGATCCAGGAGATCTTTGCTCAGACTTTGCACACACAAAAATATGGGGCAAATAAGCAGCCACCAGCTTGGTGCAGAAACCCTGCCCCCTCCCCCCCCACCGGAGGCTCATTGCAGCCCAGAATCCAGGGGTCTGGGGAAACAGCGGGTTGCGAAGGAAATTGTTCTGTAATCTCAACCTCCAGCTGGCCCTGCCCGGAGCCCCTCCGAAGCCACGTGCTCGCCCAGAGCCCAGTGCCAGGCACTACACCTGCGCCTCCCCCGTGGTGGGCCACGTCTCCCCCCTGCCCAGGCACAGGGGGCCAGTGGGTGCTGCCCCATCACCAGGGCCAGCTCCCCCAGGCAGACAGCGCTTGCTCCCCCCTCGCCTTCCCCGCTCAGCATCAAATGAGGAAGCGGGAGGGGGGAGGGGGACAAAGGAAACTGGCTCTAGTTTTAGTTGCAATTTTGTCACTTCAGCAGCAAAGCCAAGAGAGGCATGTCAGTGTCAGTGTCAGTGTCAGGGAAGGACCATGTCCCCTGATCCCCAGTGACCGGAGTCCCGAGCATCCCTTCCCGGAGAGCCCCCCCATCGCGGGGCGGCAGCAGGAAACGCACCAGCCCCCGGCGGCAGGGACACCATGGTAAGTAGAGCATGCGGCAAAGGCCTGGGCACTGCCACCTGCTCTGCCCATTGGGCATCACTGCCCCTGCCCCCACTGGGTGTCACTGCCCCTGCCCCTGCCCCCATTGGGCATCACTGT